TAATGGGAGTGTGGGGCTGCTGCTCAATGCCTCAGGATACCTGGTCACTACCACTCAGGAAAAAACGGAACTCTTAAATGACTACTTTGCCTCGGTCTTTCACAAGACCAAGGGGAACAACATGCCAGGTAGGGCACAGAACAAGCAGGGCGGGATTGACACCATTCCCACCATTGCCATAGAACTGGTATATGATCAGTTAAAGAAATCAGACATATATAAATCAGCAGGACTGGATGAACTCCACCCAAGAGTGCTGCAAGAGTTGGCTGAAGTAATAGCAGAGCCCCTGGCAAAGGTCTTTCAAAAATCATGGGCCTCTGGAGAAATTCCAGAGGACTGGAAGAGGGCCAATGTTGTGCCCATCTTCAAGAAGGTGAAGCGTGAAGACCCGGGAAACTATAGGCCAATTAGCTTAACTTCTATTCCAGGGAAAATCCTAGAAACATTCATCAAAGAGGCTATATGTGACAAACTTGCAGAAGGCATGATACTGAATGACAGCCAGCACAGCTTCATCATGGGCAGGTCTTGTCTGACCAACCTCATTTCTTTCTGTGATCAGGTGACTTGTCACCAGGATAAGAGAAAAGTGGTGGACATCATATACTTCGATTTCCAGAAAGCCTTTGACCTGGTATTCCACGAGGTACTGATCAGAAAACTGAAAGATATTGGGCTCAACTGCGGGACCGTCAAGTGGGTGTGAAACTGGTAGTGGGGTAGGACGCAGAGAACACAAATGAATGGATCAACGTCGTCCTGGTGAGATGTGGGCAGCGGCGTTCCCCAAGGGTTGGTACTTGGCCCAGTGCTGTTCAATATCTTCATCAGTGACCTGGATGAGGGGGTGAAAAGCCCATTTGCCAAGTTCACGGATGACACCAAGATATGGGGTTGTGTGGACACACCTGCAGATAGGCTGCAGATACAAGCAGACCTAGACAGTCTAGCATGAACGAGCAGAACAGAACCAGATGAGGTTCCATGTAGAGAAATGCAAAGTGCTGCATCTGGTAAGGAAGAACCCCCAGCACACCTACAGGCTGGACATCGCTAACCTGACCAGCACTACAAATGAAAGGGATCTGGGGTTAACAATAGACCCCAGCATGAATATGAGCCGGCAACACGACACAGTAGCCACTAGGGCCAATAAAACTCTGGCACGCATCAATCGATGCATCTCCAGTCAATCCAAATAAGTGATTCTTCCACTTTACTCAACATTGGTGTAGCCGCAGCTGGAGTATTGCATTCAGTTCTGGGCGCCGCACTTCAAGAAGGGCTAACGCTCGAGAGGGTCCAAAGAAGGGCCACCCGTATAATTAGAGACTTGCATTGCAAGCCATACGAGGAGAGGCTGAGGGATCTCTGACTCTTCAGCCTAAAGAAAAGAAGGCTGAGAGGGGACCTGATTGCGGCTTACCACTATATCCTATGCGTACATCAAGGGCTGGGTGAACAACTGTTCACCAGGAAACTAGAGGAAACACACCCTTGAGGAAAACTAGAAACAGCGGCCACAAACTCCTGGAAGATAGTTTTAGGCTGAACATTAGGAAAAACTTCTTTACAACTAGGGTATTGAGAATATGGAACAAGCTCCCCTCAGAGGTGGTGCAATTATCTACCCTAGAGGTCTTCAAGAGAAGACTGGACGGTCACCTGGCTGGGGTTGTCTGAACCCAGATGTCTTTCCTGCTCATGCAGGGGGCTGGACCTGATGATCCTTTGGGGTCCTTTCCAGCCCTATGATTGTATGATTCTATAATGAAGGCTCCACAACTTTCCTAGGCAGTCTATTCCATTGCCACAGTTCTAACAATGAAGAAGTTTCTCTGGATATCCAGTCTAAACCTACTTTACTGCAACTTTAAACCATTGGTCTACATCCTGCTCTCTGCAGCAGGAGAGAAAAGGGATTTTCCCTCTTCTTTATGGAAGTCTTTCTTTCACCTCCCTCCCTCCCACCCCCCCACCCCCCAGCTGCTCCAAATGTGGATTTTGGGTTACTTTTTTAACCCAAAAGCTGGGGATTTTTTTTATCAGAGAAAACCAGGATCTCTGTTTATGAGTAGTGTTTTAAAATGGGATAGTTTGAGAAGGAGCTGGTTCCTGAGAACTGATCTGAGATGGCAATATCCCCACAGTAGGAGTTTGAGAGGTTGCTAGTGAACTATTTGCCCTAGTTTTTCTCTTTCTGTCAAATAAATTGACCCTGCAAAGGGTCAAGGAAAATGGGGGATGAAGGAGGTGGAAAGAGCATTAAATTGTTTTAATAAGGTGTATAAGCCTGGTATAGAAAAACTTTAAAAGGATTTATTTGAGAAATAAATGTGCAGTGTGCCACACATGCCAATATCATGGTCATGCATAGGGACTTCATAGGGCATAAACTGAATAATAGACTATTTTTTTAGAAAAACCTTTATTTAAAATGAGTGTGTGGGAGGGAGGCAGAATTTCCTACAAAAAATCTATTAAATTGTGGATTTTAAAAACTCTGCACAGCCGGCCAAAACAAGTCTGTAATTATCTTTTGTTCGTTTGTTTTTTTTATTCCCTCATATATGTGTGGGAAGCATGCACACGTTTTTGCTGTAGAGCAGTGGTTTTCAGCCTGTGATCCTCGGACCCCCTGGGGGGCTGTAGACTATGTCTAAGGGGTCTGCAAAAGATGATTGTGATCAGTTCAAAGCATGTGCGTACCCACACTTAGAATTCAGAGGGGTCTGCACCTCCATGCATAATATTTTAGGGGTCTGCAAATGAAAAAAGGCTGAAAACCACTGCTGTAGAGCCTTCCGGTAGCCTGTGGGGCACCCTCCTGTTTCCTGAAAAGGGGTATTGCCAAATCTCTATTCTTGGTAGCCAAGGTTCTTTGGGTAAATGTGGTATCTTTTATTAGACCAACTAAATAGTTGGAAAAATTGTTCTTTGCAGGCTCTTGGGTGCAAACATCCTTCTTTTCTATGATTCTGTGATTCTTCTGGTAGAGAGAGCTTCTGAAGAAGGGTGTTTGTACCCGAAAGCTTGCAAAGGACACCTTTTCCAACCACTTGAGTTGGCCTAGTAAAAGATATCAGATTTACCCAAAGAACCTCGTCTGCCGCTGTCCTTAGACCAACATGGCTACAACCAACAACCCTATTCTTGGTAGCGGCCTCCTGGCCCTGGGTGTGGCTTTACATTATGGGGTTGCCTATTTTTCTGCCAGCCTCCAACTCCTCCAAAATTCCTGCCTGGACATATGCATGGAAGGTCTGGGTCTGGGTGGCCCTCATGCATACACCATGATTCAGGAGGATCCACGGTTGCCACATTTTTCGGCCAGCAGGTGGGCGGCAGTCTAGGCACAACTAGGGGGAAGTCGCCCCTTTCTTTGTGCAGCCCTGTCATTTCAGGGAGGTCAAGCGGTCCCCGAGGGGAGGGAGGGGACTCCAAGTGAGAGCAGCCGCTTTGTCCTGGAAATCCTGTGAGGAAGGAAAGGGACCCTCCTCCCTCCGGGTCACTAGGAGCAGGGCCGGGCGCTGCGTGCGCGGGGCGGCGGCGGGAGGCTGGCGCAGGTCCTCCTCTCGGGGGGGAGCTGGGACCCTCGCAGCGGCGGGGCTGGGGCGGCGGGCGGCAGGAGGGTGGGTCGTGACGGGGAGGAGGGAGGTGCTTGCTGGGGCTGGGAGGCTGCAGCCCCGGAGAAGGGGCTGCGGCGCGCGACGCCGGGGCCC